TATATATATATATATATATATATATATATATATATATATATATATATATATATATATACACACAAATAAAACACACACACACACCAAATATATATATGTGTGTGTGCGCGTGTGTGCGCCCGTGTATGCATGTATATGTGTATATGTATGTGTGTGTGTGTGTGTGTGTGTGTGTATATATATATATATGCAGATTGTTCATTGATGCATAATAAAGGAAAATAGTATGTATTTAAAAAATGAATGCACTTTTACCTACAATGTCAATTTTTCTTCAGCAGCATTGACATTTACAGGTATTATATTGCTGAAATTTGTAGAGAATTATCTTTAAATATGAATTATTGTCTAAAATTTTAGAAAGTAATTAGAAAAACTAAATTACTTCTTTTTTAGGGGATATGCCCGACAGCATGTTGTGGAAGGTCTTGAACCTAGAACAACGTACAGATTTCGACTTAAAGTCACAGATCCTAAAGGAGAATCTGTTTATAGTTCACCTATTTGTGTAACTACAACAAGTAAGGTCACAATATGTTAATAAAATGTTAAGCAAATAATGTAGAAATATATGCAAAATGAAAACAGCTTTGGAAGGAAAGCAGAAACTCATTCATTAAAATAAAGATATAGTATTGCTCTCATTTAAGCAATTTCCTATTAGAGCTATATTTTACACTTATTTTGTATTTGCCATTCCTTATTATTATTTGATCCTTCTTTATTTTTTTCATATTATTCAAACATTTACTACCCCTGCCCCCCAGGGCAAATCAAAAATAAGAAATGTTTATTGGTCCTCTCTATCCAGACTTTCAGCAGTTCCAAGAAAATTCCACAACCATTTGCATTCTGATTCAGGTTGGCCCTGAGGGCGCAGATAAACCCCCCAAGGAGCCCCAACACTCTGGAGAGCTAATGGCCCACCTTCAGAATGCTAACAAGGAGATGGCTGCATGGAATATAAATCCTTCCATTCCCAGCTTTCAGTCAGAACCGAGGATGCTTCTCAGATAGAAGCAAAACGTCTTCAAATCTAGTTGCCTTTTGCAAAAGCAACTTTGAGACAACCGTGACCTGGATAAGTGAGAATCTCCATGGACATTCTTTCTTATCTTAACTTGTAGCTTGCATGTGAGAGGTTCATGATTTGATCCATAGTCAGTAGCTGGTCATGTCTTTGATGTAAAAATTCAGTCCTCCACCTCAGTCAATTTGATTTGTATTTAGCCCATCTTATGATGTCCATGTATAAGAGGCCTTGTCTTGATTGTTTGAAGACAATGTTAGCTGTAAAGAAGCCAGTGGAGTAGAAGAAATTGATAAGGCAGTCTACTTCTTCATTTTAGTTTTCTAAGCCAATTCAGTCTCGAAACCTGCCACGCGCACCATTTTTTTAACTTTTGTCCTGAAGACAATCTCATTAACAATGACATTCACCAATGAAAGAAAGGCCTTTAATTCCTCAGATGTTATCATGGGGTTCTTAGAGACCTCCCAGAGTCTTGTTCTTGATTGATCTTGTTTGGACGGCCATTCATAGGGAATGTAACAACAGTGATGTTAAATTGCCTTTATCTGTAACTAATCTGCCTAACATTGGACTGGTGGAGCCCCAACTTTTTGGAAATAGTTTGTAACCTTTCCACAGCTGTCTTCAGAAATTCCCTTTGTTTGAGCCATGACACACTTCCACAACCTGTGTGGTGGAATTCAGACTTTGATAGTGAATAGCCAGAATTCCTTAAATGAGAAGCTCCCATATTCACATCAGATTATCTTCCCATTGATTGAAACACCTGACTCTCATTTCTCCTTCAAATGAACTGGTAGTTCTAGAGGTTTGCATATTTTTCTACACGCAAATAAGTAGCATTAGATCATTTCCTTCAGTAAATAAATGAACAATATTGTGTTTCGACTCTTTTGTAACTACTTGTTTCTGGTACTCCATACTGTCCTGATCGGGTGCCTCCTGGTTTCAAGCCCAGTTCCAGTTCAATCTCTTCATGCTAGGTCAGGCAGCTTAATCTGAATAAGCTATCTCCTTCCAGCCATACTAGCTTGTCCAGATAACCATATCAATTTTTTTTGTAGTTTCATTGTGCTGCACTTTCCCAATTGTCTCATAGTGAATCCCATATTAACAAATTGGAGCCATATTTCTATCTGTAAAGCCTACCCATCTGGATTGATGTGACCCCCATAGCCTGATTAGAATGAAGGTGCATTGCAGCATAACAAAGGACAATTTAAATATTTTTAAAATTGTAATTATCCAGTGCTTTTGTGAACATTATTCATCCAACTATTAATTTATGAGGACCCAGATTGTTGGGGGCAATATGCTGACTCTCTGTAAACCGCTTAGAGAGGGCTGAAAGCCCTATGAAGCGGTATATAAGTCTACTGNAAATAAATGAACTTTTGCACGATATTCTAATTTTTCATGTTTCACCTGTATGAGGAAGTATATAGACCTCTTTCAAGCCAGAGGACAGAAGAGTGAAGACTTGATATATGCCTCTTGAGTTTGAATTGTGTAATGAACATGCTTAATTAACTTTTATCCTCTTTTTTAAATTGCTGATACAGTACATAGTTGGAAAGATAACCTTTCTGCAGTTTTCCCCCAGCGCTGTAGAAAACTAGCTGCAGTCTAGCCTTTATAAATGGATGAGCTCTACAGACAACCAGACAAATAGCTAAAGCTTCCAAAGGCCCAGCATCCTCCATTTTGTTGCACAAGTTTCTCCAAGTGATTGGTTAACTTTTGGAGATGAAGTTTTCCCCCCCACTCCAGTTCAAGGGAAAAACTGCATAAATATCTTTTTTTGCTCTTCTTGCTTCCCTTCCTCTACTCTTCAGCCTGGAATAGAGATTTGAGAGCGGAGGTGAAGAGTTTAGTTTTAGCACTTAATTGGGGCATGAGAGTGCGCTGGGGTAGATCAACAAGTTCATTGCTCCCAGATGTTTTTGTTTGGTTTATTGAAGAAACGTGGTTTCCTGGGGAGGGGTTAAGCAAGGAAAGCTCATCCTGAAGTTGCTGTCTTTTATGCAGCAACTTTTTTATGCTTTCCAAAATCTAGCTGGAGGCAGGAAGGCATTGCATCTTCCCAATGGATAGCTGATCGGCCATCGGGAGGCTCAAAGGCTAGGAACTGGTCCTTCTTTTGCCCCAGAAAGGTAGCGCACCTTGGCAGAACGAAAAGATTGGGTGGGATAAGGATGCCTCTGGATATCAGCATGTCCTTGAAAAACACCAGGGTGTGGTTCTATTAGCCAGGCAATGCAACAATGATTTGAGTGCCTGTGCATACAGTTCTGAGGAAATGTATGAATGCCTGAAGCAAGTCTATAGTGAGTGAGTCTGTGTGTTTGTGTGTGTGTGTGTGTGTGTGTGTGTGTAAAAACCTGGATATGTGACTGCACCTATTTTCCAAACAAGCAGATAGAAACTGGATCTTCATTCTCTGAGGGAGTCATTAAACGGTTGCATTTATGGCTCAGAGCATGATGGAACCTGTGATTCCTAGATGGTCTCAAGTATCTACAAAAACATCAATTTTGACTGTCTAATCACAACAACCACCTGTTTGAAGTACAAATGGGCAAACTCTAGATCTTTCTTTCTTCCAAACCAAATTTTGCAGTCGCATCCAGTTGTTTTTCAGTTGTAATACCTCTGCATCCGAGCATTAAAAAAAGGTGGGCTATTGTTCACTCGTCTCATCAGAAGCCCCAATCAGCAATTTTAATTTTTTAATGACATTTGGATTTGGTTTCTGAAGCTTTGCGTCAAGGAGGAAGATAAACTACCTTCTTATACGCCTTCTACCTTCTTTTACATTGAAAGGATTATTTTCTTACATTAGTGTGAAGAGGCAAAGGAACCCGATGTTATAGCAATGTTTAAAAAAGTTATACACTACAAAACATTTCTTGCTGTCTAGCATTTTGGGCTGTAGGAAATTAATTACCCATTCACTAAGAAAGGAATCAAGATAATAAGTCACCAGAAATCCAGACAAAGGATGGCAGTCACAAAAGGTGATAGTCTCATACTTCTACCATCTAATATAGCAATATACCATGATCCGACAAATGCACTCTCGACAATAGCGCGCCAACAAAACCACGGTGATAAAACCACGATGTTGACAGCGCGCCGACAAAAGAGCGCCGACAGAAGCGCGATTACGGTTAAGGTTAGGGTTATCTTTAGGGTTAGGTTTAGAGCGCGCTTCTGTTGGCACGCTGTTATCGGTGCGCTTCTGTGCTCATTTGTTGGCGCGATTTCAAACTCACGGTTTTCTCCCCGCGGTTTCATCGGCACGCTTTTGTCGAGCGCGCATATGTTGGTGAACCGCAATATACAAGGTAAAATAATAAATCTTCCATGAAAACTAATATTTAACTAGAAGTGTATGTAGATTAATAGGGGTTACTTAATTATTTAATTTCCACCTCTCAGTAATTCAAAATGAGTGCTTTAGCCTTAATAAATGCTTTTTATTTTACAGCTTAATGATAGCTTGTTACGCTGGTCACCTGGATATTGTCCAGTATCTCAGATCCCAAGGGGCTTCCTGGCTAAGCAGGGATTTTGGTGGATGTACGGCTATGCACTGGGCTACGGACGGAGGGCACTGTGACGTTATTGAATGGATGATCCAGGACGGCTGTGAGGTATTGGAAACATTTGTGTAACTTATGAAAAACAGCATTTTACGTTGTGTTTTCTGATTAATGCATACTTCTTTGCATGAAATACTGAAGAAGGTAAGAGTAATGCTAATCAGTAGATACATGCCTAAAAAAATACATTACAGATAGTCCTTGACTTAAGCATAGCTAGAAGCAGCATTTACATTGCTAGCAAGGCTGTTGATAAATGAGCCATCCCCAATTTTACAACCTTTTTTTGCCATGGCTGTTAACCAAATCAGTGTAGTCGTTTGGTGAATGTGGCATTCCCCATTGACTTTGCTTGTCGGAAGTTGGAAGGCAAAATAGCAAGTGGAGGTCGTGTGACCCTGGGATGCATCAACCATTATGCTGGTTGCCAAGTGCTTGAATGTTGAGGCCATGGCTTTGGGGATACTGCAACAGTCATACATGCAAGGATCTTTTGGAAGTCTCTCTTTCAGAGCCATTGTAGCTTCAAACAGTTGCTAAATGTATGGTTGTAAATTGAGGACTATATGTATTTATGGAGGGATGCTTTTATAACAATCTTAATGGACTGTATCATACCACTGGATTAATTTTCTTAGTGGAAAACCTGCTATAACTTTTATTATCGTTCATCATTGTTATATGGGAAAAATAAAAACAACCTTGAAGCTGAGAGGATTGAAATGATGCCTTTACATTTTAATTTAATTTTAATTTAGCAAGAGAAATATAAGGTGATTTGGTTTTCACTTGACTTGAAGCTGCTTGTGCAGTGGAAATATTTGTGTGTTTGTTTGTTTAGGGAATTTATAGCAATAGCAATAGCAGTTAAACTTATATACCGCTTCATAGGGCTTTCAGCCCTCTCTAAGCCGTTTACAGAGTCAGCATATCGCCCCCACAGTCTGGGTCCTCATTTCACCCACCTCGGAAGGATGGAAGGCTGAGTCAACCCTGAGCCAGTGAGATTTGAACAGCCGAACTGCAGAACTGCAGCCAGCTGAAGTAGCCTGCAGTGCTGCATTTAACCACTGCGCCACCTCAGCTCTTTATATGCTTCCCATCTCCCTCTACATTGTAGGAAGTTAGTACCCACCCTTCTGCTAGATGAATAAAATATCCTAGGAAATATTGAAAAGGCAGAATATTATATTTCCCTGAATAAGAAATTGAGAAACATGTTTTTAAAGACAAAAAAGCTCCCTGCAGCTGTCTGCCCCCCCCATGTCAATGAACCATTAAAGCCTGGGCTAGACTACTCTACACAACAAAGGTAGAATTAGCCTTCTACAGAAGCTCATCACATGGCATCTGGGAACTCAACCAAACCTGGACTCAAAACACAGCCTAGAGAGTTGTCCCTGCGTGGCAACATGGGAGTCTGACAACCAATCAGAATACATTTCTTACACAGGAACAGAAAACAGAGGTGGGACCGAACACAGGGTATAAAAAACCCAGGGACTCTCAGCAAGCTCTTCTTCTTTTTCTTCATTCAACATCTTGAAGCAGTGATCACCTTTTCCCCCAGGACCTCAAACCATGTGGTCCTGTCCAACATTAAAACCATCTTTCCAAGCAGCCTCCATGTTTCCAGATGGAAATTTCTTCCAACTACATTACATTAAATATTAAAATAAACAGAGATTAAATACCGTTAAAAACTAAAACATAAGAGGGTGCTTTCCTACTTTCAACCTTTCTTTACCCCCCCCCCCTGAAAATCTCTCCAAATCTACAAGTTGTTTCTGCCTAATTTTGCCTTTCCGTTACATTCCTCTTCTAGATCCCAAATCTTCTTTGGACTCTCCCCTCCCCATCCCTAAGAGATATTTTTGGAATAGTAGAACACCAGAAGAAGAAAAAGGAGGAAAATCCATAGATCTAAGGCACTGATACCTCCCATACATTTTAAGACAGAGCATTTATATATATATAATTTTAATATTGTGAGGCATATTTCAGAAGCTAAAGTTACACTGTTAATAAAATAAAATTCATTTAATTATATAAAAGATGCTTTATCTAACTAAGTTACTTATTTACATAAGTGACTGCTCAGTACTGCTAGGGCTAAGGCTGTAATCTTTTCTCAAGCTGACTTCAAAATAAGCCTCATTAAACTTAATTATGCTTAGTTTTTTAAAGATATCCTTAGGATTGTGATATACATCATAATAACTCCAAATGGATTAAGACTACTATATTTCCTTTCCTATTACTTTGTGAAAACCTTCATTTGTGTGAAAGGCTTCTTAGATGGAAGAAGTATTGTCCTGTTAGCAGTAGTTCATTAAGATAAAAGATGAAAATGGAACAGTGTTTATCTTCTAGCCTTTTTAAACAATATCTTTGAAATCAGGCCTTACAGAGAGCCATTATACCACTAACTCATAGCATTTTATATCAGCTATTTTACAGTCATCCTGGTATACCTTTTTGGAAAAAAATAATTTCAGCATTAAGGATTTTAAAAATAGAATTAATATTACCATACATTCAAAAACTAAAACTAATACAAACTAAAAAAAAAAAGAAAATGCAGAAGAAATAGGAAAAAATAAGAATATAGTAAAGAAAAATAAATATATATATCAAGAAATGACTTCCCTCTTCATCATAAGTATAAACAATTTTAATCATATCAACCTCATAAAATACGAATGATCTTCCCATATCCCATCTTTGTCTACAAACAAATCCTTAAGGCCTGTCATTCAGTTCCGATCAACCCAAAAATTATTAAAGGGAGATAGCAACTTATCTATTTTAACCTTGATTAAATATACCAACTTTATATTTCGTTGTTTTACTTCTAATAATCTTAATGTTTAGTTCCTTCAAATAATGTCCTAAGGCTTGATTTCTTTTCATTTTTTCTTTTTACCTTCTCACAAAATTCTTCAAAGCTTTAACATATATCCCTTTTGTAAATATAGAAAAATATTCATGTAACTCTGGGGTTTTTTCCATATGATTTTTTCCATATCATTCTTGTAGTTGTCATTTTTATATCCATTTTCATATTAGTCTCCATCTTGTCCAGTGAAACTATTTCCTCTTCCATAAATTCTTTAAACATATAAAAGCAGACACTCTTAAAATTAACTTCTTGGTCTATTGTTCAAAAAATATCTTTGATTATGTCCAATATTAAAATATTTTGCTCCATTCTGTATTATGAAGTCAAATTTAAGTAATCTTTAATTCCTTCTGATTCTTTCTATTTTCTAATATTCAAACGTTCAGTCTATCATTTTTTAAAGAGAAGTCAAAACAAAAGCATTTTCCCATAGGAAAGATTCTCATAATAAATCGCAAAATCTTATTTCATATCATCTATACCCTTAATCTGTTTGCATCTTTTCAAAATAAAGCTCTAATCACTCTTGCTGTTTATTCCAAAAGAAAAATGTTTAAGTCCTTAAACTTGTATTTCAAACTTATTTTGCTAAGGATTAAAGAAAACATTCAGTACTATAAAACTTGCCAATCCAAAAATTCCTAGTAGCAGAGAAACACTTAACAAGCAATTTTTAAAGTGATTTGAAAAGGAAGCATGCAAATCCAGTGTCTCCTAGAGTTGTAATCCTGCTGGAGGCTCCTCTTGTGGTTTCCTTGCTAGGAGCAACTCTATGGAATTGTACGTATGGACTATCCCAAATCCTTTCCTTGTCTAGAAAGGAGAGTCTACTAATAGTCTCTTCATTCTGCCTGCACTTGTTGGCTCCACTTTTAGTGGAGCTATCTTTAGTTCACCATTTCTTCCCCAAAAGTCCCTTTCAGCATTAAGGATTAAGGAAATAAATCTGTATTTATTTATTTCTTTGCATGGGGTGGGAGTTCAGATTTAGTTCCAGAAGGGGAAATTCAGTTTTCTTATATCAATTTGGATACTTTCCCAAAGTGTGTAGGGTTTTCAGCCTTAGAATCTTTACAATAGCTGTTGATATTCAATAGCATTTAAGGAAAGACAGGTGCCATTCTTCCAACAAAATATCAGTGGCACCGTAACATCGTACTGTAATACTTGACTGCTCTGCGATTATTGTGGGTGATTTTAGAATTAATTTGTTCACAGGTTATGTTTGCATGTTTAGAACTATATTCCTTTTTTCTGTTCTTTTTTCTAGCATTCCCACTATCCTACATGTATATAATGCTAGAAAATGTAAATTGGAATTACATTTAGCATATGAGTTAAAATTTCGCAACATCTAATGTTAATACTTGTATTACAGAGTCACCTTATCGACAGTAATGTAATAGCAGCACTTTGAAGAATGTAATTACACAGATTTCATCCATGCCACATGTTCAAAGATTATAATAAATCTTTTTTAATCTGCTGTGTTCTGTATAAATGAGTCCCCTATTTCATTATTCTTGCCTGTACAAAGTCTACATCTATGGGTAATCTGTTCATAATTAGCAAGTGTAATCAGGTTTTCAATCCATTGAATAAATGCAGCCATACATTTATCTTTCTGATGCTGCAATATCTTTTAGACATAATAACGATATAAAGAATCCATTTATGTTGTCCAGTTATCAATTCCATGTACTAGGTTTATAGTTCAAAATAACAGTATCCTCTGAAAATTTTAGCTTCTGGCACACAGTTATATTTATCTGATCCATTACTTTCTCCCAAATCTTGGTAAGTGTAGGATATTGGAGAAACATATGTTTTAAAGAAACATTATCCTTATTACATCTCCAACAAAATGCTGTTTTTGACAGTCCCTTTCTATACAAATGTAATAGAGATCAATAAATTCTGAATATTATGTTGTTGCTGTTTGTTGTTGTATAACTTACAATTTCAGATCCATTGACAGCCATGCTATTGAATTTAATATGTTTTCCTGTTGCCTAGATGATATAGGAGCCTTTAGTTCTTTTTTCCACTCATTTCTTAACATCTGCATATTGTATTGATTTATTATAAAAACTAATATGGTTTTAAAGAATTTAAGAAGTTTTTTTTAGCATCTCAGGTGTCTCCACTTCCATCCAATTTTTCCATTTCACCCCCCCTTCTCCCAATTTCTCCATAAATTTGCAAGGTAAAAAGACTTAAGCCTTCTTTATTAGCCATACATGCTCTAACTTTCTCAGTTATTTGGGTTATTACTCAATTGTTTCCAGTTATTACTCAATTGTTTCCAGAGATTGAGTTTTAGTATATTTAGATACTAATATTGTCCAACAAAAGGAAGGTTGCCCAAATCGGAAAATTAATACCAAACGTTCTCTTCGGTATTTGATACTTTACTATAGGTTAGCATGATGATATAGCTCCAGGTTCAGAAAACCAAATCCTCATTAATTGATAATTGCATTCTCTGTAAAGATATTTCATATTGAAGAATATCATAAAAATCTTCTACATTAATAATTTATTTTCTGACAATATTTTCCAGGTATATAAACTGGAATTCCTCTAAGAATATAAATTAATCTGAGAATAATACTCATTTTGAGAGCATTCATCCTTCTCCAAAGGTTAAAGTTGAATGATAATAATCAGTCTGAAGAAACCTCTTTAGATAATTTATTCATATTGCATGTTACTAAATTATATTCTACATAAACCGTTAAATGTAAGTTAAAAATGTAAGTTAAAATTATTATTCATATAGTTTTTTTAAACTATTACATGGATCTTGTCCATTGTTACTATTGTTACTTTTATTAATCTGTTTTTATCAACAACATGGTCTTGTATCTAGAGATGACAGCAGTGATATCCCTGTTGTCTGCACAAAGGAAAATGAAAACAATACGTGCTAAAATTAAAGATATGCTAAAGATAGTAAAGCTAGTTGATCAATTCTTGTTTTAATTAATGAATGAACTGATCCAAAATAGTAGGCCCTGCACCTGTGGGGAACACTAGGAAATAAAAAACTCTGCAAGGCAATAAAATGTAAAACGAGACTGTTCAACTGGCGGGAAAAAGAACTAACAATGTCAAGTGACAGGAGAAAAAAATAGAAGAAATAGTTTCTGAGGCAGGATATAGTGGGGAAAGGAGATTGAATTAGTTTAATATAGGAAAGATTGAAAAAGTTGTTAAAGGCAAAAAGATCAAGACTGTGTAAAGCAAACCTTAAAAGGAAATAAAAGATATATGTCAGTGTTTCTCAACCTTGGTCACTTGAAGATGTCCGGACTTCAACTCCCAGAATTCCCCAGCCAGCATGGCTGGCTGGGGAATCCTGGGAGTTGAAGTCCGGACATCTTCAAGTGGCCAAGTTTGAGAAACATTGATATAAGTGCTATTCAGAATAACATTGTGGTATGTCTTTTCTATATCTGCCACAGGTTGACTCTAGAGATTCTGGCGTGGAATGGACTCCACTATTGAGATTATGTGCATTATCAGGAAAAACAGACGTAGCCACAATTTTAATAAATGCTGGAGCTGATGTGAACGTAAAAGATAAGGATGGCAAGACATCTCTGATGGTAAGCTGTACTGCTAAGTAACATGTTAGAGTGTTTCTCAATAAGGAGGATAAGAGGGTCTTGAATGGTTTCAAACATTCCTAGGTCTCAAACTCCTCACTTCATTATTCACTATTAAATCCATGTTAATTCACAATTAATTCAAAGGTAAGTAAGGAATAGCAATAGCAGTTAGACTTATATACCGCTTCATAGGGCTTTCAGCCCTCTCTAAGCGGTTTACAGAGTCAGCATAT